AGGTATAAGATCTAGTTTTATGTGTACACTCTGAGAAAATATTATACAAACTCGTTGTTTTTAATATTCCAGCATAAAGACGACTTGCCGTTTTTTTAGTTATGATATTATTTTGATGAAGTTTTCTTAGGATATTAACTTGACCCATTTGCCTGCAATATTTTATATACTCTTGAATATTGCGGTATATTGTCATAATATCGTCAACTTTTTTTGACAACTATATAAACTATGTTGTAGTTGTTGGTCCCAACTGCGTTTATATCATGAGAAACTATATCAGACAGTGATATTTATATATAAGACAGTGATATTTTTCCAGTAAAGTTTTTAATTTTTATTGTTCTAGCACGATGAAGATGTGAGACTTCTTGGGCAAAAAATCGAAGTGTTACAGGCCATCGGAGCTGCGCATGCTCCACTGGGAATGCAGTTTCCTCGAGGACCCTTACCTCACCAGGAACCTGAAGCAGATTATACTTGGAAGATAGCAAACTTCACAAGAAAGTTAGCTCAAGCAAAATCTAACAATGACTGTGGTGATATCGAAAGTGAACCTTTTTTCTCCAGTCATGGTTACAAAATGAAATTGGAGGTCTATCTGAATGAAGGACCGCGTGGCCATTCGGGATATATGGGTGTGTACATATGCTTGATGAAGAGTGATCGAGATGGCGCTCTGCCTTGGCCTTTCACAAAGCGTTACACATTCGTTCTTGTTGATCAGCAAGATGATCTTAGTCAAAGACAAAACATTACATACTCAGACGTTCCAGAGGGAGAGAAAGAGTTTAAGAGACCAAGACAGCGGGAGAATGTTGGTTGTGGAGAGAATCAATTTGTTAAACATTCAACTCTACGTACTCGTCAATACATTAGAGACCACGCTGTATACATGAAAATAATAATAGATCCATGAAAAGGTTGTTACTCTCTAGTCTCTACCTTACAGACACCTGATACCAAATATAGCAACTCTATATTACACGTTAAAAACGTTTTATTCACTGAAATTAGTTATTTGACATCACAGTGTAGCGAAATTAAACTTAGAAATACAGTTTGATCCTCCGTAGAGCCATCTTTTAAGTATTTCCAATTCCAAAGTACCGTTTCTTGGCCAAAGAGCGAAGAAAGTGCGCAGTGAATGATGGGAAGATCTTCCCATCACTGAAAACTTCACGTAAGCCTCTGTGGAGGAGATACCTAGATAGAGTTTGGTTGAGCTCAGAGAAGATACTGAGTTTACTGACTGTTTCAACTATATTTTTTTTAGTTCAGCCGTTGGCCCGTTTCTCATCAAAGTTCATCACTTTGGAAAACATTAGTTCTCTATAATATTTAAAAAGTAATAAGTTAGCTGAAAAATCCCCCAGCGCCGCTACGTAAGCTATTATCAAAATAAGATCTAAGACTAGTTTTGTGTATACACTCTTAGAATATCTATCAGTCGTACCGGCTCTTACTAACTGACTTTACAGTTGTAAACTGTTGTCGCTGCTTCTCAACGCTGCACTGACAATAAAAGTTTGAAACGTTCTCCTGCCATCTGATGCAGGAGTCCTTGGAACGTTATCCCGCGTTGTTTTCCGGCAAGTTAACAACGAAATTAAACCATTTCTATAATCGGGCATACGGTAGGCATAAACCAGAGGATTTATCAAATAGTTTAAGTGTGCAAATGGTAAACTGTAAGCTATAACAGCGTGATCGAAATTAATGTTCCACTCGGGTTTAATATGCCACAACAGATGCACCTGCTCAGCGACAAGGTATGGGAATGCAGTCACCAAATACACAACAAAAAGTAACAAAAACGATATGGTCAGTCCGCTATCGTTCGCAGAACCGTCCGGCATGAGTTGCGCGACTTCTCGACGATTTCGCCGCATGTTTAAAATGACCAAAATCCGAAATATTATCACTGCCATTACTGCTATTTCCAGCACGGATAGAACAACAACAAATACTGCAAATGGGTAATCGACTGTCCAAAAATTACTAGAAGCTATTAGAATTGACGCCAACCATAGGAAAAATATAATCCAAAGTATTTTTCGTCTTGTTAACATGAGATGCGCAGTTAGCGGGTACTTTGTGATGATGTAGACCTCGACGCTCAATAGAAACAGCATCAAAAACGAAGCAGAGAATCCAATATGGACGATGGTGTAGTAAGATTTCACAGGCCAAAAATTCGCTGGATCTTGACGTGATTTGTAATCGTAGAAGCATAAACCGATGCCCCCTATGTTTGAAATTAAATCCGCAACTGCCAAGCTTGTAATGGTGTGGCAGCCTCGTTTTCGTAGATTTTTCAAAGGGTTGCGAATTATGATAATGAGTAGAAGAGAGTTTACCACAACTCCAAATATACATTTCGCTAACACGATAGGTGTAGGGTCGAATGGATATAGATCGATGGAATTCGTAGGAGTGATATTCATTACTTGGCTGTCGTTGGAATTCTAAAGAAAAATGTATCAGGCACGTCATTACAAGCCATTTACACCAAAATATTAAGAATATTTAAGATGCAATATTTTTCGGCAGATCTATTGCTATCGTGTGAGTAGGTGTGTGTGTGTTTGCAATTTTGTGTGATTTTAGTTTGTAGCCAGTGAGCGGCCAGTTCACTATTATATTACGTAATACATTAGAATTATAAGTGCCTGTTCGCAGGCTAAAGCCTGTAAAACATGGCGGTTTCAAATATTAACTGTGCAAAGAGTGAGTGCTTCTGTCACTGTGAGTTTTTGTTTCGCCAAATTAAGTAGCTTTTGTCCGCCCACGGTTTGGCGACAAAGTTTTATGACTTTCACTTAAAATTTTAATCCCTAAAATATGTGAGGGCCACGTTTATTAAAGCATCGATTTAAAAGCCTCGAATCGTAAAACTGCTTATAAAATCAGCTTTGTCGATATTCATACAGCTAGCTAGTAGCTATATCATTTTGCTGTTCTATATTTTACGCGTAAATGTATAGATATGTGTATGAAATCATATTAGTTTGTTCTTATAAGTAAACACTTAAAAATTTAACAAACCCCACTTAAATCGGACGTCGGAATTGAATCAGTGAATTGTACCGATCCCAAGCAGGTTAGCGCTGTATTGCATAGTCTTGTTCTTTGATAAATCCTGTTCTATTTATCCGGAACAATATTATCCAAACATAAAATCCTTACTAGTAATAGTATATATAGACCAATATATGAAACAGGACATGAATTAAAGCTCGAATTAATATGTGTAATATTTCGATGTGATTTAATTAGCCAAGCATATTAAAAACGAATTAAGATATACCGGTCGGGCAAAATATGTTAAATATTGCTAAAATTTATGGAACTTAACGTTTCTTCGAAAAGAAAACGGTTATTTGCCTTACTATGGGAACTTCAGATCGTTTCTCAAATATTGTGAGTATAGTGTAAGCTTAGAACTTTGCCGCGTTAGTGAAGTTACGTATAATCTATTGCCTTACCTGAAATTTTGACTTCGATTTGGCGTTTAATTTACAAAAGATTAAAACAGCCTCTTTATTTTCCTGCCACTAAAAGCTCTTGGGATCACAGATACGGTCTTTATAGCTTATCAGTTTGTCTTTAAATTATTTAAATCGTTCCGTTGTCGCGTGCGGAACTTTCGTCATTTGTGCCAAGCGGAAATCCTATATTTCCCCGTCACATGGTCATGAGTATATTTCTTTAATCCAAGGCATTGTCACAGCCTGTCAGTCTCTGATAAGCTTGATATATTCAACGCCTACACACGATGTAATATATTGACCGTGTTTTGTGGGGAATGTGAAAAAAGGAGGCGTGAATCTGGACTCGGATGAAAATGAGCCTTGCAAATACGCTAAAAATACAAATCATGTCATGGATAAAAAAGCTTCAAATTGATGCAACTACCTAATGGACAGCCTAGTATAATATCACTTCTAAACTGCCCTCTTTAGATGCCCAGTAAGGGCTCTATCAATTCCTACAGGACGCAACTTACACGAAAGTCTGTATAGCTCCAGTAATATTCATCTCATGAGACATCTCTTAATATATATCAGACTGGAAGCACTCTTCTCGCAAGCGACTGGGAGGAATTATTGCAGTGCCATCAGCGTACACACGTAAAAATCTCGCATCTTGTAACAAGTCTGGCAACAAGCCGTCAACAAGATGTATTCGCACTGCTTGTCACAAGTTGTCAACAGGTTTGGAACAACTTGTAACAACCTTGTCGAAATTATCAGACTTGTTGCAAGGTTGTTCTGACAAGTCCGTTACATGCTTGATATAACAAGATTGTTACAACCTTGTGTTGACAACCTTGTAACATCCTTGTTATATCATGGCTGTAACAAACTTGTTAGCAAAGTCTTGTAACAAGGCTGATAATGCCATCAAGCTTGCTACAAGTTGTTAACAGCTTGTTCCAAACTTGTTACAACAAACTGGGAACAAGCAGTGCGAAGACAATTAACTTGTTGACAGCTTGTGAACAGACTTGTAACAACTTGTTTGCAGACCTGTAACAACTTGTGCGTTTTTACGTGTGTACACACATGTAAAAACGCACAAGTTGTAACAAAGTTTCAGCAGACTTGTAGCAATGCTGTTCCAACAACTTGTCAACAAGATGTGTTAGTCGTACTGCTTGTTCCGAGCTTGTCGACAAGTTGTCAACGGCCGGCTTGCGACAAGGTTGTTGAGCTAATGAGCTTCACAGACTTGTTACAAGTTGTTCCAACAACTTGTTATTGTCCTGCAATTCAACAATTTGTCAACAAGTTGTGAGTGACAACCTTAAAGCAACTTGATGAAATAACAGCATTGTTACAACTTGTTAACAAGCTTGCTAAAAGCCTGTTGCGAACACATCTCGTTGAGAAGTTGTGAGATTTTTACGAGTGTATCACTCGCACATTTTTTAAAGTCAATTTTCGTACTAACTATACTTTCAATGAAGATTTAGCGACGCTGGTCAGTTATTTAACACCTTACATTGAACTAAGAATAAATTGCGTAGTATTATAAGAAGTAGTGGAATTTGCGTAATTGTAAAAAGAGGATACAACATTTACTTTAGCAATCTACGAACATTTTATAGGAAAATCTTAAGAATATTTTCAATTTTTTTTTCAAATTAAGAACAGTCTTAACTATCGTTGATTTCGGGTTTAATAAATGATCCATTAATCATATTCCAGTCCTAAGTATAGAACATTGCTTAGAAACACCTGCACTCGATGATGACTCAGTAGAAATGTAATCATGATCTGATCGGAATTTAATTTAGAATTTAATAGACATACTATACATGAATATTTGATGTTTTCAATTTTTCATTAGTTTAGTTTTTGATGTACGATTTAGCAGCTATGGTAGTGTATTCAATTCTTTGTATTTTATTCTTAATATATGTCGAAAACTCAACAAGCTCAGACCAACACCTTAAAATTCACGGATGTAAAATTTAATTATTCGGGATGCAGTCTTTCCGTTATTTTTATGTTTTATAAGCATCCAACTTTTATTAATGCTGTTCTTTAAAATTCATGTAATGTTTATCTTATTTGATGACTATATCTTTTTCTCATCTTTCCTTGTCAAAAAGCCGTTTAACAGCCAAAAATCCTTCGACACCAAGGAGTATTGTTAATTTGAAGGGTTGTGACGTTTCAATGATTCAGTAAGGGGCACTATTTCCATTGCTGTCTTGTGGTTAGAGCTCGACAACTGGACTCTGTAGCTCAGTTGGTTAGAGCGCTTCATTAGTTGTTGGTTTTGAGCGCTTTTACGCGTATCTTCTCTTCGGTAACAATATTTTGTATATTGCTAAGTCAGTAGTAATTGCAGGCCTTCATCAAGAGGTTTGCTCGTTTTCATGCAAATGAATTGGCATTTGAATATATTTTTCTTGACCCATACCTCGCCCACGCAGGATGCTTATATCTTAACTTTGACTCAAATATTCTGGACTTTGTAATGAAAGTGAAATGAATATTGAACATCCGCCTTCGTCTTCTATGCGTCTTTCCATCAACTATGACGGTGTCGATATAATATCCGCCATCTTTGCAGGCTTCCTCCGAGCCTAAATCTTCCTATTTTAGACATTTTATTGAGGTTACAACAAGATTGTCACTCACAGCGTAATTGTTACAGTCTGCTCAAACGGCCATGAAAGTTGATGAGAGTTGCATTTGACCGTCAGCTCTCATTCTCTATCGTCAACACTCGCGATCGCCAACTTTGAACTGGTTGAATTTTTTTCAAACTGGTTGAGACTTTTCGCTATGCGCACGTAAAATCCAGTTAACTCGCATCTTAACTTTCGAATTCTTGTTCTCGTTTGACTGGGGAACGAGAGTATAGCTAGAGAAAATTCGCCCGTATTTCGCCGCACGTATAAGCTGTCGCTAGATTGCCAACTCTCATCAACATGCATGCGTTTTTATAAGCTTTTATCAAATTGCAGCAGCTTGTAAAAACTATTAATACAATTCTATGTGAATCGACTCATCAACTTTGCCGTAACAATTCGTCAGTGCGGCTGTACAGATAACTTACGAACAAGCTGGCATCGCGGCAACCTAATAGCATGTCTGCCGGCCCGCATGGAGTTGCGCGGCTGAAGATTAGAGAGAATTTGGACTGAACTTATCTGAAGGTTTCTACAATTAATTATATCGAGCATAGATGCCCATGGTGGTGATATTTATCAATACACCTTACGTACATTGGGTGCTTTTTATGAACGCAACCTTAAAAAACAGCAAGAAAGCATTTATTCAGTGTTTTGTTTCAAAACGCAGTTTCCTTGATTACTGCATGTAGAGTATATAACATGAGCTAATCATATTTGACAGCGTTTTCAACTTCTCTTGACTCATTGACATTGGAAACTACTTACCTTCTTGTAATTCGGCGGTCTAGAATTTCTTTCATGTTGAGGGCTTGAGAGTCACTGTGCAAATGTAATAAAGTGCGCGTTTTCCAAAACATGAAAAATATTTACTTTTATAATACCTATATATAGCCTTATTACCCTTATAGGCCGTTTAACTAGTTGAAGTTTACAGTATGCAATCGATTTCGGCTGCTATATTAACTGTTTAAGAAAGTTGCAAAAAATAAGAACATAATTGTTGCTAGATCAATGCATGCTTCCTTGAAAAGTACACTGAGTTTCTGGTAAAATACTTGCCACTATAAACTAGTTTAAACTATATATACTTCCGTTTCAACTTGAAGCACAGATGTGTGAGAATCGGTATAATTAAACAATTTTTTGTTGTTGTGCATCACATTTTATTGAAATTATTGTTATCATTATTAATTTGCATGATATATAGGCCATAGGGTCAGTTGCATAACTACTATTTTGCAGTCAGACAAATGCGCAGTTAATAATCTATACAGTATATAGTAAAATATATACGATTTTGATTGGTCACTATAAACTATATAGTTAACTTTAAACTAACTTTTATAAACTGCCCCAGAAGTTTAACATTATAAATATTATTCACTTATTTATTATTTTGTGTATGTTGGTGTTAATATGTACTCAGGTAAATATGATGTTTGTGATGTTACTCTGAGTGTGGATTCCCACCGTGGCCAAGCTAACTTTTCAGCTTGCCCGGTGTGGATGCACACTCAGAGTAACATCACAAACATCACTTATTTATTATTCCTAGCTTTTTTGCATCGGGTTAGAAGTCTGAAAATTTTCGGCAAGCACAGCTTGTGCTTAAAATGCGCTCACACAAACATACATAATGCATTGTCATTGTGCCATTGACATTGTATAATTGTAATATGCATATAGGGGTATATTGAGTTAGGCCTGTTTTAAACCGGTTTTCATTAGGCGGAATTTTGCGCGCGGAGCGGAATTTTTCTTTGTCTTGTGATTTCTCGGGTGGAACTAATTAGAAAAGACGAAGAAAAATTCGGCTCCGCGTGCAAAATTCCTCCTAATGAAAACCGACTTTAAGCCTGTTTTCCACTTCAATCGTAACGTACCGTAGAATTTTCTTTTGTGTTGAAGTCATTAGTTCCACACTACCGCTCAGGAAACAAAGAAATACGCTACGTTTCGGTACGATACGGTTGAAGTGGAAAACAGGCTTTATACGTCGAATTTCGGTCGCGTCGAATGCAATTCAAGCACTAGATAATGAAGCTTAATCAGGTTTATCATCTCATTATCTATTGTCGCATTCGACGCGACCAAAATTCGACGTATAAAACGGGCCTTATATATCGGCGTTAATTAAGAACCTAAGGAGCGTTGTTTAAAAACATTAAATTAAGCTACCTATCAACAAACTTATGTTATGACTTTGTTAATTAAGGATAAAGTTGTATAATAATACTGATCAGCTTTTAAGCTTTCAAGTTTAAAAACTTGACTATAACTTTATTTATACTGCGGGATAGCTCGCCATCAGTTCTAAACTGTTCTTCCTAGGCCTAGAGGTCCAATTAATTAATAGGATAATTTTTTATTGATCCAGTGTTACTGCACAGGAGGAAATCTAAACTAAACTAACTTTATTTATACTGGATAGCTAGCTCTTGGCAAGCTCTATCAGTTCTAAACTGTTCTCCCTAGAGATCTAGTAAGGGTCATCTCTTCATAAATCTATTTATCACTTCTAAATTGTTCCCCTTAGAGCCGGTCACGTACAGGAAGAAAACCAAAATTCAACCAGGGACGTATAGCGGGGGGGGGGGGGGGGGGGGAAACGGGG